TCATTTTCTTGATATTTCATTTCTTGATATATTCTTGATATTCGACTCTTGATTTCTTGATATTTCAATATTCTTGGATATCATTTGATGACAAATCAATGTCTTCATTTTCTTGGCATTACAACTGTTATTATCATGCTTATTGCACTAAATTATGAACTTAAATAAAAAGGCTGGAATAATAAAAAAGGCTCTACCTGGCACACTCGAGATCCAAAACTTCGAGGACCACATTGATAGCATTCAAGATTGAGTACACAAAGCCCTCATCGCTTGCCAGTGCTAGATAATTCTCAGAGATTAGCGCCAAGCGATTATCGCATGATTTGAGAAAATAAGAGAAAATGGATTTCAGTTCAGTCGGATTTTTCAGAAGATAAAAACGTAATCGAAAAGCGGATGTAAGCGTGAAGACTGATCGTTGTGTGAGCATCTGCTGCTTGGTTTCCACCAGGTATTGAGAAAAATCCTGCAATACGTTCACTCAGGCTTCTTAGGTCTATTTTTTGCCCAAGTTACTAATCACAGACGCCAAAAGAAACAGTTACAGCTAAAGGTTCAGTTACGGCATTTACAGCTCAGTTCAATTTTTGTCATCAGTAGCACAGCCAGGTAGATGAGAACGCCCTTTTTGTGCTCCAGCAAAATGGCGAAATCCACAAAGCGGGAGACGAAACGAAATAATTCAAGAAATGCAAAGTTTAGCCAGAAAAATAGGGGAAATAATCAGAACAGTAAAAGACTTGGCCTACAAAAAACTAATTCAGAACACTAAAAATGGTCACGTAACATGAAAAAAAGCAAGAATAGAATGAAGACAATAAAGCCGAGGTGCGATGGCTTCGTTTTAAAAACTGAGCACAACGCTGAGCAAAACTGAATCGCGAAAAATTCATCAAAAATAAAAACTCACGAGTTTATCGACTTCGAAAAAGGGTGAGGAAAGCAGTCGAAGAGCAGATATTTGGCACAGCTGATACGAATCATCAAGACATCGAATTATGCACGCAATCTCGTCATCACTGGGGCGAAGTTTTAACTGGACCAAGTTGAAAAACAGACCTGCAAGTTGCTCTTCTTCATGCTAGGCACAGTACTAAGGGTGGATAAGGAAACGAACGGAGCGGGGAAAAAGTGGTAAATGAGTGGGATGAGATTTCACACAGAAAAATAGGCATATTTTTGGAAAACCAGGACAGGTATTAGCAAAAAAAGTACCTTTCTTTTCGTTTGCTAAGTTATGTTCCAGAAAAAGGCATTCGAGCATCTGAAGGGCCATGATGCGCCTGCTGAAATTTCCGTATTTCGATAAACACTCAAAACTTAATTCACGCAACGTGCAGATGAAGTCCACGTACGGCTGCAGCGCACTGCCTCCGCAACCATTCTTCAGCAGATTCTCGCTACTCTCACGTATCCAAATCAAAATCTGAAAAT